CATCGTTTAAAAAACCTTTGTAAAAGAAGCATTCCTAATCGTTCGAATGCTGTTTTGCTAACTATTTGTATATAAATTCAGCCACCGACAAGGTCTGACACAGGGCGCTTATATATATAGGGCGGTGCAACGCCAGTACTTTCAATCAAATCAAATCAATCAAATCAAATTTTATTAATAAGGAAATAATTACAGTCTGTATTTAAATAATACTATCTGCTAATAGCAAAGCTAATTGGGGCGGATAGTGAAACGAAATTAGGTAAGATGTGCTCAGTGTTTAAATAAGAAATTAGAGTATTCCTTATCTATTTTACAAAGTGGCCCAATATACTGACAGCATAAAATATCATTGTTATAAGGAAGCATTAATTTCCTGTTTATTTCCCTGAAAGCACTGTTTTCAAAGCTTACTCATATATTGAATTAATGTGGGTACATCAACATAGTCATCCTCAATCTCAAACATAGTTAAAAGACTTTTCTGAATTTTCAAATTGAAATTTTTTCTCCCCATCTCTCGAACATCAGTGGGAATACTATTCCAAATTTTTACCCCTGATTTTACAAAGGATGTGGTTGTTATAGTTAGTTTTGAGTATTCAATATAAAGATTATTGGATACACAATGTCTAGTGTTATAAGTATGGACTTCTTTTGATTGGATAAAACAATCAGAGATTGAAGTTGGACAAGAACTATTTGTAACATCGTACATTAGATTACAAATGGTTTTAAAGTAAAGCATATTTAAAGGAAGTATATTGGAGTGAATAAAAAGTGGAATAGCATGTTCCTTGTTTGTTTTAAAATTCATTAGACGTAAAGCTCGTTTTTGGAGAATAAGTATTTTGTTCAAATGTTTTTTTGGCGCTTGACCCCTGTAGCGGCTTTCAGCTCGATTGAACAATAGTAGGAACTTTATGGTTAATTTGTGGTTAGCTATGACGCGGTAACTGGTTCCGATTTGGACAGGTAAAGGTTTGCACGATCTTGTGTTTCGCTCAGTTGGTTATGTGCATTCGTCGAGAAAACTTGTAAATAAAAGTTTCGAACAAGTTTTCGTAACCCATCCAGCTGTTCGAACATCTCGGTTTGTGCATCGTTCGCCTCGACAAAGCAGGACTGTTATGTAAGTTTATCTTTTACGATTGTTATTTAGTTAGTTTGTAGTTTCTCTTTTTACGTGTTAGTTTTAGCAAGTGCATGATAATATTGAGTTGTTTTAGAACATTTCTAGTGCATGTGATATTGTATTCATAATCTGTATAGTTCGTTAGTCTTTTAGTTCAAGATATAGTTATATTAGTTTGATTAGGAATGCATGGACTTAGTTTTTATATATTCGTTATTTTAGTTTACGACAATTCTGAGATCTCGACCCTTTCGACAATTCTGACAATTCGTCCTTTCGACAACCTTAATCAATATCGTTAATGAATCTCGAGTTAGCATTGTTATTTGGTCAAGACTATTAAATTGTTGCCTGTAAAATATATCCCTGCGTTTTGTTTCTTCGAACTTTACAACGTGTCGTGACGTAAGCAAATCGTCGTCGTTCATATAGAGCTTGCGCTGCGGCCGTTACAACCCCAAACAGCTATACCATATGTTATATAAGGTAAAATTAAACATCGATAAATGTTTTGTAAAGTAGACAGAGGTACAAAATATCTAAGCCTTGTAATTATGCCAATAGTTTTACTTATTTTAGATGCAATATTATCAACATGATATCTCCATGTGAGATTACTATCTAATACGACACCTAAATATTTTATAAATTCTTTACATTCAATGTTAGTTAATATATTGGAATCATTGTCAAACATTTTTAATTGAACTTGATAATCGAGCTTTTTTTGGTATGGATGAAAGATAACATAATCGGATTTCTTTAAATTAAGAGTTAACTTATTTGTGTTTAGCCATTCACAAACTTGTATCAATTCTCTGTTGATAATCGTTTCTAGAGATTTTAATTTTTAATTGGAATATACTAAGTTCGTATCATCAGCAAACAAGTAAAATTTGAATACCTCAGATGATTTGTGAATATCATTTATATAAATTAAGAAGAGTAAAGGCCCAAGAACTGAACCTTGTGGAACACCCAAGTTAACTGTATGTTTTGATGATATGTTACCACCAATTTGGGTTGTTTGTATTCTATCAGTTAAGTAAGATCTGAACCAGTTGTTGATCACTCCACGGATGCCATAATGATGTAATTTATGTAGAAGTATGGAATGATCAACAGTATCAAAGGCTTTTTTTAGGTCAATAAATATTCCACATGAAAATAGTCCCTTGTCCATATTATTGTGAATATTATTTATAATATCAATAATGGCATGCTGTGTTGAGTGTTTAGCTCGGAAACCATATTGTTTATCATAGATATTGTTTATCATTAATATATTGGAATCATTGTCAAACATTTTTAATTGAACTTGATAATCGAGCTTTTTTTGGTATGGATGAAAGATAACATAATTGGATTTCTTTAAATTAAGAGTTAACTTATTTGTGTTTAGCCATTCACAAACTTGTATCAATTCTCTGTTGATAATCGTTTCTAGAGATTTTAATTTTTTATTGGAATATACTAAGTTCGTATCATCAGCAAACAAGTAAAATTTGAATACCTCAGATGATTTGTGAATATCATTTATATAAATTAAGAAGAGTAAAGGCCCAAGAACTGAACCTTGTGGAACACCCAAGTTAACTGTATGTTTTGATGATATGTTACCACCAATTTGGGTTGTTTGTATTCTATCAGTTAAGTAAGATCTGAACCAGTTGTTGATCACTCCACGGATGCCATAATGATGTAATTTATGTAGAAGTATGGAATGATCAACAGTATCAAAGGCTTTTTTTAGGTCAATAAATATTCCACATGAAAATAGTCCCTTGTCCATATTATTGTGAATATTATTTATAATATCAATAATGGCATGCTGTGTTGAGTGTTTAGCTCGGAAACCATATTGTTTATCATAGAAAATTTTATGTTTATCGAAAAACGTCCTGAGACATTTATACATTAATTTTTCAAAAATTAGATTAAAATTTGAGAGCAGTGAGATTGGCCTATAGTTCCCCGGATCAGTTTCATCATCATCTTTAAATATAGGAATAACTTTAGCATGTTTCAATTTTGAAGGAAATATTCCTTTTTCAATAGAAAAGTTCATTATTTCTGCTAATGGCCAGGATATTTGATGTTTTATATACTTTAGAATTCGTATAGGACAAGAATACAGTCCATAAGCTTTAGTACAAGACATTGAGCTTATTTCACATTCAACTTCATGAGGAGAAATGGGGTCAAAGAAAAAAGAACCAGAATAATTAGTGGTATTGAGATATTGGCTAAAATGTTTGGAGGGATTGGGTAATTTAGAAGCTAAATTAGTTCCAATGGTTGAAAAATGTTTATTAAGAATGTTAGGAATATCTTTAGGATTTCTATTCATTTCATTTTTGATTGGACATTTGATTGTCGTAATCATTTTGTGGTTTTTCCTTTGGCGATTGATCAAATTATTTATGCCCCAAGGTTTTCCTCATGTTCTTTATATTGTTATTAAAGTATTGGTTATAATATAAATTTTTACTAATTCGTATTAAATTTGTTATCTTATTTCGATATAGTTTATACTTATTTTTATTTGTAGAATGGAATAATTTGTTTTTTATTTTAATTGATCTCCTAATTCCTTTTGTTATCCATGGCTTACAGGACTGTTTTTTCATAGGATTTGAGACTGGTTTTAAGGGAGCGTGTTTATTGATTACTTTATTGAGTTTATCATAAAAGGTCATAAAAAGTTTATCTATATTATCTTTATTGTTTGCAATGATTGCATACCAGTTGATTTGTGCTATGTCGTCATTGAATTTTGACTCCAGGAATTTAGAATAATCACGAGTTTTGGCATTAGTTTGGTGTTGATAATTTATATATTTATCAGATTGCATGATACAAAATTGCGAAAAGTGATCACTAATGTCAGAAACTATGTTCCACTTAAAACTGGGTTGTCAATTTTATTGACGAAAATATTGTCAATTAAAGTTGCAGATTGATTATAAACTCTAGTAGGCTTATCAATGGTAGGTGTTAAAGCATAGCTTTGAAGAGTAAGTAAGAAATTTTGAGTATATTGACAGGTTTGAGCATTGAGGAGGTTTATGTTGAAATCACCCATTACGTAAATAGGCCTATTTGAACCAAAAGGTCTAGAATTAAATTTGTCAAGAGTGTCCTCAAAATAAGTTTGAAATCTTTCCGGCGAATTATGCTGTCTGTATACGACACCACATATAATATTAGTTTTATTTGCAAAATGTATTTCAATCCAGAGAGCTTGAAAGGCTGAGTTGGAACATTTTTCAAGGACCGTGTAGGATAAATCATTTCTGATATACAGTCCGACACCTCTAGAAGCTAGTGGTGTTGGAACAAATTCAAATTTATAATTTGCTATGTCGGGATTGAAATCAAAAAAATTATCATCTCTAATTTTTGTCTCAGAAATACCTATAACACTGAAGTTATAATCAAGTTGTTGTAATAGGTGAGTTTGAAAATCTTCCAAGTTGCGCCTCAAGCTCCTTACATTGTTATGTAGCAACAAAAAACTCGCCCCTATATTAGATTTTATTTGACACTTAAGACTTGTAAATTTATGAGGTGAATAATATTGAGATTGTGGTATCCGGTAGTTTGAATTAATATCAGCAGTCGCATCAGAAACTGTGTTAAGATTGAATAGACCCAGATCACGCATACTGGGATATTTGTCAAGGTCTTTCAATGTTGGGAGAGTTGTAGTTATACAATTATTAAAGTTAGGCTCATGGGTAAAGTTAATATTGTAAAATGGCAGTTCCTTAAACAATGATTTAGTTATTTGAACATTGCACATATCATTCCCAGACATTTTATACAATTAAACACAACTAGTTACTTAGCTTATATTTACACATCAGTTCTCACTTCCCTCTTCCATTCGCTGTAAATCTCCAAGCTCTTTTATCCTGATCGCTCTCGAGGTCGCACTCTTTCTCAGATAAACAGTTGAGTTCTTTGTCCAACAATACTGATAAGAGAACTTTTCTTTGAAGGTCCTTGCTTCTGCTAGAATATGTTGATTCTTGGGAGTGAGATGATCAAAGATACGGATTAATGGGCTAACTTTATTTGTTTCTCTTTTATGCTTCATTACACACTCTTTTGAGTTTCGCCGTACAAACTTGCAAACGATAGGAGCTGGTGTATTGTCATTCCTTCTACTTGGGACACGGTGGGCAATATCTATATCTTGATAATTTACGTCGGCTCCAATTTTCTTGAACAGATCTACACACAGCATACTAGTGTCGTACGCAGATTCTTTTACTTCTTGTTGAGGAATGCCAACGATTTTAACATTATATTGATAACTGTACTGGCATAGCTGCTCAAGCGCATCGTCGATTCGATCTACTTTTTCGATTCGATCCAACAGCCTTGAATTTAATTTCTGTAAATCTCTCTTCGCTGCCCCTTCCTCTGTGCTCAGAGTATCATATTTTGCGCTTAAGAACTCCAGGCTATTTTGAAATTCTGTTATTTGAACTCGAGTTGTTGTACTAGCTTCGTCTTGCTTCAGTGCTTCTTTTTGTTTTTCAATCATATTTCGCAATTTCGCGAAGTCATGCTGTAGGGAATTTATCTGGAGCTTTAAAGCATCGTTTTCCTTCTTTAACGATGTGATCGTATCAGGCATAATGAAATACTATGTATTGTATGATTGAGCTTCAGTATAGGTTAAGTTATGGAGCTCGAAAATACAAAACTGCCACTCATGACAGTCGGTGTTGATCGATGTGGGGGATTGGTGGCTCAAAGCAGTTTTGCTTGATCAGTGGTGTTGCTCATCTATTTAACATCGCTTGTTTCCCAATTAAATCCAACAAGCTCAAAGCTTTAAATTTTCTTTAAAATTTTGGGGGGAAATTTTGTCGAATATTTGTAAAATAGAATTACGTAACAAAGGCAATTTATTACTCTAGTGATTACTACTTCAGATAGCATTGTATATTCTCGATACCTGTGCAGTGTATACGTAAACATGTTGTAAACATGTTGTGCGTATAAAACAAGGCTGAAACCTCAGGATAAAATCAATTTATTTCACCATGCAAGTAAAATAAATTTCATCTATTTTGTTACAAATATCCCTTTGGGGACATCTAAGCGGTAACAACGATGCAATAATTTGCACCAATTTTTTATTTACCATGTCTATAGCAATTTCGGGTATTGCAGTCTGTACCTCATAATCATTTCAAAATAAAAAATATATAGCAAAATGGCGATTTATCTACCACGGATGTAGACTCTTGCAAGCTTTATTGATATTTTTCCAAGATTGCTTCTGTGACGCCCAAAGTTATAACTGCGGTGGTAAGCAACCATACAACATTATAGTAGAAAGCGTATTTATGCAAAAAAGATTGAGTGGTTCGCAATATACAGTGTTGCAAAATTCATGGGAAAATTTTGTGTCTTATCCGGACAAGACACCCAAAGGCTCAACCAGTGCATCAGAAGGCATTTCTCCAGCAAATCATGCAGCATTTTTGGTCAGGGAATTGTAAAGCAGAAACCAATTCAAAAAGCGATGAGTGCATGAATGTCAAATATTTCGAAGCTAATACAAATTGCCACAAAATGAGCGAGCATGAAAAGATCAAAGATCATGCTGGATGGGCTTTGAAGAGATCGAGAGATGTTATTACAAAAGGCTCAAGCCAAATACCTCTACAAGAGAGCAATTAAGCATCATCAGTTTTATTTGCAGACCAATCGTCTGCATTGAGAAGTATTTCCTCCTTGGACAACAACTATAGGTTTGTTGTGAATGATAATGTCATTCCTTTCTTCGTGTTTCTTCATAAACTTGTCAAAGATATAATTAGACCAATCAATTTTGTGGCTCACAGAAGTGAAATTTTGTTGAAATGCCTAGAAGAGTTAAGCCGAAGCAAAGAGTTGAGAAAAAAATGGCTGGTTTTAATTTCAACAAATGCTGATACGAAAGCTGCTACTGTTGTGTTGCAACCATTGGCTATAGTGAAAAAAGAAAAGGCTATAGTGCAAAAGAGCTTAGGTGGAAAAAAAAAAGAAAAAAAATCGATAAATCCAATCTGTTTTCTCTTCACATTAAGCTCATTTTATGACAAACAAATAGCAGTTCAAAAAGGAGGTCGAACTTCGAGAGCACATCTTTTACAAAAAAATGATAACAAGGCTGATCTGCTATACCGGACATTAGTGCACACCAAAATGCAATCGATATCCAGTCAGCTGGATTTTGTATTGTTCGTTTTTTAAACTTTCAATAACAATTTGTGAATTTGATTAACATAGATAGTATTGTCATGCAAATTATAAACCATCTAAAGCATACATAAATAGCAACAACTAAAGTATGCATATCGCATCATTTACACCATTTCCCGTTATTAAGCTCCAATAGGAGAGTTATTAAGCTCCAATAGGTGGGTTAAATATAGAGGGCGGAGCTGTTTAGGGTGACAAGGAGGCAAGTGACAATGTGTTTGGTCTGGGGATAGTGTTACAACTTGGAGGTGTAAAGATGCTCTTCAAAAATATACAATTATTGTTGATATGTGTGTGCTGGTTCTACAAGCTGGCTTATAAAATCTAATCCCTTTTTTACTTTTGCAATTTAGCTGAAACGTTGAGTTCATCCTAATGGCATCCCAAATGGAATTATTAACATGCAAAAATGATTGTGTTGCATATGTAGTTTTGATTCCATTTTGTTCTGTAGCGTAGCCAGCCTAAAAATTTGTCCTGCTATACATGCTAATATTTTGATGTTCATTTGACTGTGAAAACAATAAATTTCTGAAGAAATGAATAATTATAATAACTCGAAATTTCTTTCTTTCAAATCTTTCAATCCATTGATAGATATTTAGAATGATTGAAAATATTTCTTTAATGTATGCAACAAAATTTATCCCTTAAGTATATACTTAAATGCACTTTTGTTCAAAATTGAAAGGTATAGGTTCAACAAAAGGAGATGGTTAACCATCAACCTTCTTGAAAATAGGTGTAGCGTGATTTAATGTACACGATGAAGGATCTAGCAAATCTAAATCACTGTTCTCAATAGCAGATCCAGTGCATACGGTACATTTCTCAAGCGTTTCTATGACATGCAAAAGCGGACAAAATTACTTTTCCCAAATATATACATGACTCGATATTAAATATAAAGCAACAATACAAACATAGTACGAACTGCCTGGTATATAAAACCTGTAGTAAATATGTAAAACCATTTTCAAATAAAAAACAAATTTATTTAGATAAAAAATCACCCGTTTCGCCAGAATCTACCTAGTGTAAATACTGTCAGATTGGTAAGGCAGGCGTAGTATTTTTTATACCCAGATTACCAATCCCGCCAATCTCAGGAATGTAGAGAAACACTACTCCCGGTCTACCATTAATCATAGAAACACGTTCAAGATGGCGACAGTTAATGAGCGGCGTGCATTATGCTGTCTTTTATAAAACTGAAATATGCCTAGAAACATCAAACGAACGCTCCCAAGAGGACCTAATTTTGAATTTGTCGCATTCACAGACTCTTCCCCATCTCCAATACGAAAAAGAATAGAATTGGCATCTCCACAAAATTGTGATGAAACGTCTGCGCGTGTAAATGAAGTCGGTGAATGTGAAGATAATTTAGGAACGTCCATGCAAACTTCATCATCATTTGTTTTCAGTGAGAGAGATCTCACTGGGATATTTAGTGAAAGTGATAGTGATAGTGAAAATAATGAGAAAGCTCCAGGAAAGTCAACTAGCTATGCTAAACAACAACAAAGCTCGACAAGAAACTGGGAAAATATCAGAGGAACCTTGTTAAAAGCTGTCGTTGAGTCAGATTGTATTCTGGGTGGTCAACTGTGCACCAACTGTAATATAGCCAGCGCAAACTTTCGATGCTTGAAATGCGGCACAGGAAACTATCTTTGCGAAGCATGTGTGGCATCATTGCCCAAAAATGTTTGTGTATTTCAAATGGTTGAACAGTGGAAGGTCAGTATACTTCATTTTTTGCTTGTAGTTCATAAATAGACTATACTGTATACATTATATGTAAATTCTTTCGTGAAATGTTTACTTCTACAATATTATATTTAATTTTAAATGACTTAAACATAGTGGTTCAGACTTCAGAGGACGGAATTTTTTGCATGAAACAAAAATGCAAAAGTTAGGATAATATACATTGATAAATAGCTATAGCTATGTGATTGATAGATTTGTGAGCACATGGCACAAGATAAATGTAATGTGTCCTGGTATGGAATGACTGTAAATTTGTCAAATAGAAAGTACATTCAAATAGAAACAAATTGCCACTGAAAGTTTTCAGAAATTACATAAGCATATGGTAGATTGATTAAACTGCATTTCCCTATTAATGGAATATTTATATTATTTTTATTCCTTAAATTAGCATTCTTTTTTCTGCTAAAGATGGAATGTTTTTACCAAGTCCAATGTTTAAGAGAATATTAAATCCTCGACCTTGGCATTCCTGTCTCGCATCAGAAATAAAAACAATTACTGCTATATGTGATGATGGTAAGTCAGAAAATCAGAAATCCAGTAATGGTATGTATGCCATATAAGAAAGCATTGTACACTGTAGCATTAAAGAACAAAGTCAGGTGCACATTGGCCTAACAAAAAGTGAAATACAATGAATGTTACATCCATTTCATTCTCAAATTCATTCAAAACCAATAACTATCAACTCATTCCAGGTATTATTTATGTTGTGAACATGAACGCATGATTAAACAAACGCATGATTGAACGCATGATACCCCAGTTTTGTATTGTGTTTGTAAATGTATTGTATAGTATAGTGTGGGCGTTAATGTATATAAGGCTGTGTTTTGTAAATAAACTGTGATATTTTTCCTGAGTCTGTTTGTGAAAGCTGATTGAGATATATCGCGGCGAAATGCGACATTTGGCAACCCCACCAGGATTCATTGGGAGTACTATTCGTTAACTTGAAGATGCCGTTAACACGAGCTCAAGCAGCTGAGCAGGAAGGTAACAACGTTGGTGATACAGACAACATTGGTGGTGCAGAGGAGACCAACCATGACGAGCAAGTTCGCTCGGCATTCGAGATAGAAACGTTAAATATAGTACAAGAACAGCGAGACCTTCTCAAAGAATATAGAAATGGTTAACGTTCTGAATGATACGATGCAACGTCTTTCGGACGACTTCGTTCGTGTTTGTGATAGGAACAGACAACTCGAAACTGATGTTATCGAATTGCGTGGTCGAGTAGAGGCACTTGAAACTGAGATTAAAATTAGTGAGGAGCGATCAGAGAAAGTCAATGCAAGAGTTTTTGCTTCGTTGCATCAAATAATTGAAAAAGAGCTTCGACAAGAGTTCAATGCGCTTGTGGGGACGCATTCAAAATCAGAAGCAGATAAAGGTTTACGAACTGTGTTTAATGAGACGGAACAAGTTCATACACCTCAAGTTAATATTTTACCAACTTCGACACCTGCATATAAACCAGTCGGCAAAGAGGAAAAACGGGGAGAGTATAACATTACAGCAACTCGTGCGACTGATTATTCTGCTGGCCGCCCGGTCCAAAAGCCCGCAATTTTTGACGGCCGTACTTCTTGGGAGGCG